TCTTCAGTTCTCCCAGCTTGAGAAATACTCAGCGTGTTCTTCCTTTTTGGTTTTCTGATTCCAGATCTTTGCACATTTTGTTGCAATATTTACATTTATCTTCTCGAGTTGATCTTTGAAATTTTCTGTTCAGCTCTTGGACCTCCTCATTTCTTCCATTTGCTTTAACATCTCTATGCTGGAGAGCAAGTTTCAGAGTCTTTTCTGACACCCATTTTGACCTTGGCCTTCTTTCTTGTCTTCTTAATGACTTTTTGCTTTCTTCCTATATGATGTTCTTTATGTCATCCCACAACTCTTCTGGTCTTCTTTCTTTAGTGTTTAACGTATCAAATCTGTTCTTCAGATGATCTCTAAATTAAGGTGGGATATATTCAAGGTCATATTTTGGCTCTCATGGACTTTTATTTTCTTCAGCTTCAGTTTGAATTTGCATATGAGTAATTGATGGTCTGTTCCACAGTCTGCCCCTGGCCTTGTTTTCACTGATGATATGGCACTTTTACATCGTCTTTTTCCGCAGATGAAGTCAATTTGATTTCGATGTATTCCATCTGGTGAGGTCCATGTGTATAGTCATCTGTTGTGCTGTCTAAAGAAGGTATTATAAATGAACAAATCATTGGTTTTGCAGATTCTATCATGCGTTCTCCAGCATCATTTCTATCACCAAGGTCATATTTTCCAACTACTGGTCCTTCCTCTTTGTTCCCAACCTTTGCATTCCAATCACCAGTAACGAGCAATCCATCTTGATTGCATGCATATTTTTAGAGGTCTACAAAATAACAAAAACTTTTCCTGTATTTAAAATAAATAAATTAAAATCTGTTATAATTATTATATGGATGCAAGGGCCCTTTATTAATCTAAGAAACATTAAAATCTTGGTGATTTAAATATTTTGCTACTTATTCATTAATACTATAAATTACTTCCAATCATGCTTCTAAAAAGCTAAAATAATAAAATGATCAAATCACCTGGAAGTATGACGCAATCGTGGAAAAATATCCATCCTTCAGTTTTGTTATTACATTGCCCAAAGTATTGCATCATCTTTCAAGACACTATAAAAGACTACAGACACTCTCTATATACCTCTTTTTTC